ACAGTTGTTTTGAATTCCATATGTTCTTCAATCGTAGGAATGGGGCCCTTACTTTGCCAATCCTCGCCTTTACGTCTGCATCTGGTCCTCCTTGTTCATCGATGATGCTTCCCAGGTGTGTGAAGGATTCTACATCTTCCAGAGTCTCGCCATCAAGAGTGATTGGATCGCTGTTCTCCGTGTTGTGTTTGAGGACCTTGGTTTTCCCCTTGTGTATGTTGAGGGCTACTGATGCTGAGATTGCTGCTACACTAGCCGTCTTTATCTGCATCTGTTCGTGTGTATGTAATAGAAGGGTTAGGTCATCTGCGAAGTCCAAATCGTTCAATTGTAACGGTATTAAAAATCATTACATGCGACGTTACCAATGCGACTTTGTTTTCCTTATTGCAGGGTTAACAAAGAGTGAACGTACTAAAAGAGGAACAAGCCTTACGTAAGCTGAACAATGAATAAACCCATTTCGTAATAAGCTTCCGTTTTTGTACTTGAACAGCGTCTTTCAATTTTTAAATATATTTCTGTTGCGCTTGTACGCCGTGTTCTTACTTCAGTGGCATTTACCGGTTCTGACTGTTGTGTTGTGTTTCAGGTCTCTCCTGCTTTTAAGTAAACGCTAATAATACGTGCTACATAATTGGAGAGACATTACTAAACACGGATTACATTTTCTCGACGAGTTCGTTGAAATTTCTCTAGTTATTTTTATTGCCTTTAGACAACAGATATCATGGCTACCTATATATGTTCAAATTGCTTGAGATTGGTGATATATTTGCAAGCTTGTGTTGTTTTTTATGTTCGCGTAACTTGTTTTGTCTGTTTATATCTAGAAATTGTGAAGGTAATTGCAAATAAGGTAAATCACATATTCTTCATTTTCTGTAGCGTTAAGTTAGACTTGTTTGTCTTTTTGTTTTTACTTACATGTAAACCGTATGGCTGAGATTCGGGAGAAATATGTCCAGCAGCTGGTGAGCTATAAAACCTGGCTCGCCCTCAATTCCTAGTAATGCTTTCTGAGTTGTAGTTATTTAATTCTTATTGTATTGGTGAAACTTCATGCTTTCGGCTTTGGGATTTCTTAAGTATTGTATGTGAAGCTTCGGGTTCCCAAAATGTGTCAGTCGATCCAACAGATGCGTTTCGATGGTTAGACGGTAACATATGTATCTCAAGCCTGAACGCTAGAACATCCAGAAGTATGGAAAACAAAACTGGTACCACCGTGCGCTATAACTGCAATGCACCCAAATAATTATTTCCTTTAACCAACCACCTAATTCCAAGAACTTATGGAAACGCATTATGACCATGTTGAACAAAAAGTGGATAATCTTATATTCATGATTGACAGAGAATCACCGTATGAAGTGGAATCACTCACATGTGAATGCAACTGTCCTATTTCTGCTACACATCAATACCAACACCGGCATATACTTATAACACACTGAAAAAGCCAGACGTTTAAGGGTACATACAATAAATCATAGGGTATAAATGTTTCAGTTAATCAAGTGCAACACTACCTAATCCCTGTGTTTCTAACAATTTTCAGCAGCGTGAATACCTTAATATGGATGAGCGTGACCCAAAGAGATATACATATTCAGGTATTTTCAGTATGATATAAAGTACAGATTTTCCAGCTTACTAAAATTTTAGATACCAACCAGTTTCTAGTGAAGTTTGATAGCAATATGTATAGCCACGTTTATAAGTCCATCTTCTTCGGTACATAGTGATTTGGTCCTATAAATAGTGAGACTCTGTATCTTGAGGTGCTATCAGTATGGTTCAGAACAAAAGTGGTTAGGAGTAAAAGTAATCCTGTTCAGTTGGAAATCCTGTATTATTCACATGCTTGCTTAGCATATCTCCTGTACTGCAATTTCTATCCACCGTTTTCAAACCTATGTAAGCCCACTAAATGTTCTTAGATTATTAATCAGTTCATCATATCAATTTTTCGGGTAGATATTTACTGCTCTCTGTCCTTTTTACATGTCTCCATGTAACAATATAAATTATGAATCACATATATGAATTAGTTATAATCATTATCATTTCAATTTTCTCACTCACAAGTAATTATTTAATGGTATCCTATATTAAAGTGGATATACGTCTATTGCGCATCATTTTTCGTCCTTTCGTTATTAGCAGCCAGTGTACTACTCCATTACTAATTTTAACAAGTAGTTTTAAACTTGGACATGGTTATAGCAATACACTATTGTTCATCGAAACACATGTGCTCGTAATTACTCCAGTGCATTTCGCCAAACATTACCCAGGTACTTTAACCAACTTTTGGACAAAGTGAAACATTGGCATTTCACAAATATATTACGAATATTGTCGATGACTATCGAGTATCGTTGATTTGCAGGCGTAATCGTCATAGCAATAAATAAGCCCGCAAGTTTCAAGCAAATGTTCCATCATTCATGCAAGCTTTCGTGCTCAAAGCTAACCTCCGTTCTATTGATAGAAGAGATCAGAGTAGTTGTGAATAGGTCTTTATTTAGCTCGCAAGAAAGTCACAGTAGAGCGGGAGGTTGCCTGTTCAAACACATCAAGCTTTTCAAAATTCAATGCAAGATAAGAAATATAATGTCGTTAAGAAGTAAGAAAGTGAGTGGATACATGAGCTCTATTGCTTAGACATATACTCAGTTGTTTGTGGTCAACTCCTAACCAATAAGCCTAAGTTGTTACGTATTAAGTATTTTTTTAAAAAGTAAATGTAAAGCTCATACATCAAAAAGAAAAGATCTGAGGTGTGGGTAGTATAATATTTCAGACTACTACTTTTTGGTATCGTTGTTGTTAATGTAATAGAATTGGTGAAACGGTACGAGAAAAAACATTTTTGGTTAATTAAACGCAAGATCTTAGTAGATACGTGGTCACATTTTAGGCTTCAGAAAAAAATATGGACATTCTTGACTGACTAATCGGCTGTGCCCATCTAACCTTTTTATCCACTTGTTCAGGTTTTTCGTTTTTGCTCGTTGATTCAGTTATTGTTTTGTCGGGCAAACGGTCTTACAGCATACATGATCTAGATAAACCGGTTTGAGTCCATCAATACTTACGTAGTCGATGTTTCCTTGTTTCTCTATCACCAAATATTTAGGTTTCTTTGAGATAACTTTAAAGGACCTTCAAATGGAGGGATAAGCGTGCAATTGCTTAGAACTTTAGGTACACATGTCGCCCGCGTTTATTCACTAGTATTAATTGGGTTGAGCTTTGACATATGGTTCCGTATTTGGTCTACGTAACTTTCGAGATCAAGATTTTTACTGTCAGTATGAGGGTTAATAAAATCACTCGGTCTTCCCAGAGTCGATCCAAAAACGGGTTCCGCTGCTGAACACTGCGGGTCATTTTTAACAGCTGTTCGTATTCCCAACATAAATAATGGCAGGAATTCTGTCCACTGATTGAATTTTGAGGGTAAGGGCAGCCTTTAGTTGACGTTGAAGGCGATCTACCATTCCATTTGCCTGAGAGTAATATGCAGTGTGAAGTATCCTATTAGAGCCTGGAAGCTTAGATAACTTGTTAAATAGCTCAGATTAAAGCTGTGTTCCTCCATCTGTCGTTATTCTTATAGATGTATGAAAACCTTGGCCACTGTTTCGGCTGTGATGTCCGTTATCGGTATGGCTATAGGCAATCCCATGAATCAAAACAGACAATTAAAACCGTTCGAGCGCGGTAAAGGGTCCACTAAGTTGATCTGTAAAAACTATGAAGCACATGCCTTCCAACATGTGTCGGAAATGCTTAAGGGTGAGGTAGATTGCAAGCAGTTCTCGTCTGAATGTAGAATAACTTATCTCTGCTGGAGCGAGTCTTGTTTAGAAGAAAGCAGTTGGTTTCCAGGTAGTTTTAACCAGTTGATTATTGTACTGCCTACTGCTTTGTCTGAGGCATCCACTATCAAAAGAAGTGAGGAAAAAGATTTCGGATATATCAACGTAAATGCATGAGTCTGTTTATCTTTTAGTTGTTTAATAACTCCAAGGGCTTCAGAATTCAGCTTGAATTCTTTTGGTTTTCTTTCAAGTGAATCTTTCAAAGGTTGCACCAATTATGCACAACCTGGTATGAGTCCTCGACAAAAGTTAATTAGACATAGAAAACGTCTAAGTTGTGTTAGAGAACTAGGTATGGGATATTGTCTGATGCTGTTCACTTCTTTGATCGGCGTAGGCCCCTCTGAACTTCGAGAAATTCTATAGTTAGAAGACCAAAAACAATTAGTCTGAATACTAAACAGTCACTATACACGTTCTGACCAAAAATGATGCAGGATACTGTTACGGAAGAACTGAAGACATTTGGCTTGTTAAAACCTTTATATTAATTTCACTGTGTTTTTGGATGTATTTGTTTTACTCAACATCTGAACTTGTTTATCTATATCATTATTTTCGGACATTTGGTTTCTCTTTGTCTTTGACACGGTATTTAGGAGTTTTCGCTCCGGGAACCTACAAACTTGAAGGTTTGTTTTGTAATTGTTATAATTATTGTTGTTAGAACGATATTTGGGTCGACTATTTGTATATTGCGAATAAACTTTGGTACCTAAACTGGAGTTTGGTTCTATTGTTAATTTGGGTTCGTAAATTGCAAATAGATCGATATACCGTGCTTCAATAACGGGAAGGAGCGGAAACTTGGACGTAACAGATACCACATTTCTTCAATAAAACCATGAATAACTTGAAAATACTTTATGTACATTCTAAATCTGTACAATTAGTTAACAAAAAATGAATTACAAATACAAAATCAAACAGGCTTTTATTCTTCGTCAGTCGAATCTTAAGCTTTTACCATCGATATTTACAAATTATACATGTTCAATAATCACTATAAGGATGGTGTTGAAAATAGACAAAAACTATCCATTGAATAATAGTCTACATTAATCGTTTCACTATGATGATAATTGCAGTAGTGAATTATATCCTTATTTACAAGAGATAAATGCCAAGAAGTGAGAATATAATAAACAACTGAGCATAGGTGAATACTGCTGCCGGACACTGAGAAGCGAAATTCCGAGATCTGTATTTACCTGGAAACAATTCAAAAAGAAAGTAAACGGAATAAATGAAATAACCACATCATTAAGAAAAAAACAATCTAAGAGTTACATTTGTAATGGTAATCATTACTGCCATGATTTTGAGATTTTCGTCATGGAAACAAAATACAGTGAACTGATATCGATATTTACATTGAAGAGTAGAATGGGGGTTTGAAACTTATGGTAATGTGATTTGTGTGTTTTAAAGGACTGTCTCTTGATCTGTTGTTTTCTTACACATTTATTCAGACCTAATATTGACCTATCTTTCTATATATTAATTGTTGAAATGTTTTTTTACCTAGCAGAAATCAGAGTCAATTAACTATCAATCAGTAACATAAATTCTTATTTAGCATGGTCTAAATAAGTGTTTATTGATATTTATTAGTCGTGCTGTATTGTAATATTGGATTTTACACATACAATTACGAATAAAGGATATATTTGATAACTCATCTTGTCTTCTGGTGCTTTGACTGGGATTTGGGGAAGGTAGGAATTTGGCTTGACTGTCAACTCACTGGACGCACACTGTGCAAGAGTTAATGGACTTGTTATTTATCACATAGAAATGAGAATGACATGTCAAATATTAAATAGGTAACACGGATGGCATCGAATGATGACCGCAATGTATTGTAAATTGACTGTATTCGGCAATAAAGCCCCTTTGATTGTGGCTCATTAACTTGTCCGTGTTGTTCTGGTTGTGAGATCTGAGGGATTCGGGTTGTGATGGTGTGAATTTGTAATTGATTGCTGTTGATCAATACCCAAATCATGATAAAATATACATCATGAAGGGATTTCTATCCAGTATGTTTGAGCAAAAAACATCAATATGTCAAGGTGTTGTAGATGAACACCACTGCCTACTGAGTGATTGAATACTGAATTGTAGGTGGTGAGCGTGTTAGTTATGTCTTAGTGTTAGTAAACAATATTGGCTCACCACAGCAAACATTTATTTAGGTACATGGAATGCTCATACAATGTGGGAGACTAAGAGAGAGTCTTCCAAATTGCTGCAGAAATGAGGTGATAGAACCTACAGTTGTTTGGGACCAGTGAAACGCATTAGACGCAAGTTGGACAACAACGACTAGCTTCAGTGAAGCTTCTGTTATACTCCGGCCATGAAGAAGAAAATGCCCCATATGCACAAGGAGTTGCATTGATGCTGTCCAAACAAGCACAAAATGCATTTATAGGATGGGAATCTCATGGACCGAGGATCATCAAAGCCTCCTTCAAAACAAAGAAAACGGGGATTACAATGAAAGTCATCCAATGCTACGCACCTACCAACGACTATAATGAAGACGTTAAAGATAGATCCTACGATAGGCTGCAGTCAATCGTCGAGAAGTGACCAAAAAAAGACTTCACTAAGGTTGGAATGAACAACATCGGATATGAAGTCATCATGGGACGACTTGAACTAGGAAAATTGAGCAAACAGGAGCTGATATAACATCAGATCATCCCCTACTGGTCGCCAAGATGAAATTAAAACTCAAGACGCAATGGAAAACGGGGCGGACAATATCACAAAAGTTTAATACGGCTCTTCTACGGGATACTGATAAACCCGACAAGTTCAAGATAGCCCTCAGTAATAAGTTCCGGGCCTTTCATGATCTACTCGATGGAGAAGGAACTAATATGGAATGCAACTAGGAAGGGGTAAAGTAGGCAATCACTTCAACATATCATGAGGTATTGGGCTACACGAAGCACCATTACAAGCAATAGACCACTGTTGATACACTGGATAAGATTCAAGAAAGGAGGAACAAGAAGGCAGCAATCTATACCAGCCGAAGAAGGGCAGAAAAAGCGAAGGCACAGGTTGAATACACAGAAGTAAACAAGCAAGTGAAGAGGAGCATCAGAACTGACAAACGTAAATATGTGGAAGACTTAACAATGACTGCGGAAAAGGCTGCAAGACAAAGAAATATGAGACAACTGTATGACAAAACTGTAGTGGTAAATAAATCCCCAAAATAAATAGCTCCGTAAGTTTTCGACATTGGATGCTGACCACATTAGTTTTAATGGACTCATCTAGCTGAAGGCGCTCGGTCATGCATCCGCACCAGATCACGTATGGGAACGCCGTGCTTAACATCTACTGCAATCGCTAGCCAGACTGGTTCAGACGATCCTCGATATATTGAAAGCTTATCAAATATATCTTCGAACCTCCTCGCTTCTGTCTTTCGGTTTTGCTTGGTGGGTACGCTTCATATTAGGTGATACTGGCTAAAGCGTTGTCAAACTCCGAATACCTGTGGCATCCTCATTGGTGAGCCTAACGTGATCCGGTACACCGAATCGCAAAATATGAGTCCGTTCCTTTCTGGGTTTTTTTATGTCTTCGTCTCATTTAACATTTTTTTACATTGTGATTTTTTCCAAGTGTTTTTGGATATACATATAGTTCCCACTCTTTCATTTTCGTACTTGATATATCACTATGTCTGAACAGACACCTAAGGTATTTAAGTTAAAGACTGTGTCCTCACCTTCGTTCCAACTAATGCCTCTCTGGCCAGACAACATCGAAGCCTGGTTCTGCTACGCAGAAGCCGACTTCTACGAGCAAGGCGTGAGCGACACACGTGCACAATTCCTCACAGTAGTCAAGGCACTACCGCGCGAATTCAACAGGTACGTAACACCTAGTATGTTTACTAGTGATGTTTCTGAACCATACGAAACGCTTAAACGCGGAGATCTAACTGATCGACAAAGGTTAGACCAACTCCTTAACAACATCGACCTGCAACACGGTTCTGCCACTGACATGTTACAAAGAATGAGAGAAGTTATTTGCCAAAGAACCTTCGATGATGGCCTGTTCAAACAAATTTTCTTATCAGAACTTCCTCAACAGGTGCAAGCTGTGCTGGTCTCATTTCAAAACAACGCTGTAGACGAGCTGGCTGCATCTGCTGATCGTATCCTTGAAATCACAAAATCTTCTAATACCGAGGTTTTTTCAGTCGAAGAAAAGCCTCAAACGACCCAGAATGACATAACAGAGTTACGTCATACACTTACGCGTTATCTTAAACTTCGTAACGACCGTAAGCGGTCACGCACCCTACGAAGAAGCACATCACGTAGGCGATCTGTCTCTAGACCTCGAGAAACGGATAATCCTGACTGGTGCTGGTATCATAACCAGTATGGAACATCCTCCAGAAATTGCAGAAAACCCTACAATTTTCCCAACTCAAAATCGGTCGACACAAAAAATGTTTTAGGAAACTTCCAAGCTGGCACGCGTTAATAGCAACGTCACTGATGTGATAACGAGAGTTCGCTACCTCGTCGATACTGGCGCAGAAGTTAGCGTTCTGCCAGCGAATTCCAACGACCGGCTTCACGAGTCGGTTTCAAATCTTCAGGCGGCAAACGGAAAGCCTATCGCTACGTATGGCAAAAGGTATGTTTATCTTGACGTGGGTTTACGCAAAACCATTCACTGGATCTTTGTTGTTGTGGATGTTTCTATGCCGATCATTGGTATGGACCTTCTACAGCACCACAACTTAATCATCGATACGCGCAAACAGAGGCTAGTAGACGGAAATACTAATTTATTTGTTTGCGCAACTTCTTTTTCTGGTTGCAGGTTATCTCCAGTCACTATTAAGCACACCATGGATCCCTTCGATCAACCACTACTCGATAAGTATTCTGGCATTTACCAATCGCAACCGAAATTGCCGTGTGTAACCAGCACGGTTACACATCACATCACGACTACAGGACCACCTGTATTCTCTAAATTACTCTGACTGGTCCCTGAAAAGTTAAGGTTGGCGAAAAACAAATTTGACCATATGATAGATTTAGGAATCATAAGACCGTCAAATAGCCCATGGGCATCTCCGTTGCACATGGTCCCTAAAAAGGACAGCAACGTATGGCGTCCAACTGGTGATTATCGACTACTGAATGTAAAAACCATTCCCTATCGTTACCCGTTGACTCACATTCACGATTTGACAGCTACCTTGAAAGGTACAGCTGTCTTTTTGAAAATCGACTTGGTTAAAGCCTATAAACGAACTCCTATGACGCTCTTCGGGCTCTATGAATTTTTGCAAATGCCTTTCGGTCTAAGAAACGTGGCACAGACCTTCCAAAGGTTCATAGACGACATCTTTCGAGGTTTCAACTTCGTACATGCGTATGTTGATAACTGCCTAATAGCAAGTCCGGACAGAGAATCACATCTGGACCTTGTTTTCGACCGACTAAAAAAACATGGCATTACTGTAAACATTCAGAAATGCCAAATCGGAACCGACTTCTTAGACTTCCTAGGACAAACTATCGATGCGAGAGGTATCCGACCCCTAAGAACAAATGTGGCGGGCATTCTGGATTACCCAGAACCGACCACCATCAAGTCATTGTGCACGTTCAACGGTCTGGTAAGTTTTTTATGGACGATTCATACCCAAATGCGCCTTAATTATGAAACCTCTTACCGACCAACTTTGTGGAAATGCGAAATCCATCAGTCTGGATGACACCGCGCGAAAAGCATTCTCCACGTTTAAGGAACGTATTGCTCAAGCGACCATGCTTGCTCATCAGGACACTGAAGCGCCCATTAGCATCGCAGTAGACGCATACGACTCAGCAATCGGAGGAGTTTTACAACAATGGGTTAACCACTCCTGGCAACCTTTGGCATCCTTCTCTAGACGGTTGCTAGACACTGAATCGAGGTACAACACATTCGGTAGGGAACTCCTAGCCATGTGTTGTGCTGCACGGCATTTTCAACGCTCTATCGAAGACCGAGAGTTCACCTTTTTTAGTGACCATATACCTCTTACTTTCTCTTCAAGCTCTTCTTCAGACAAGTGCTCACCACGTGAGTCTTGACAAATGGACTACATTTCGCAGTTTACTTCAGATATTCAACACATTTCCAGTGCAAACGATGCAGTTGCAGA